CCGCCGGGAATCGAACCCGAGACCCCCAGGATTACAAGGCCAGCGTTCTAACCGCTAAGGTCTATATTACATGACACAAAATATGGGATTTCATTAACACGTAAATACTTTATTTAAAATATTTTTTATATGATAAATACTTAATGAAGCAGTACGTAACTTAATCACTCGCTCTTTATGTCTGAAAATCTGGCTGAGCTAAGTTAGGTACACAAACGTGTACCCATAATTCGTGGCTTCAGTAAACATATGAAATTACTTATATTATTTTAAATAACTTCTTTTTATGAATATTAATATTTCATATTAGAATAAATCTTAGAGAAATAGGGTGTAAAGATGTGGCTTGGATTCAAGTGGCTTCAGTGAACATATTACATTAATTAGCTGATTTTTGTTCATTTAAACATAAATTATACAAGTACAAATGTCACCGATACAAAACGCTAATTAAAACATTAAAATTTGCGGTCTTCATCACTCATCTGAACCATTATTATTCCTTCTTATATTGTCCTTAATATTAAATATATTTCTTCAAATGCTGTGGAGCCTCTAGCCTGGGACAAATAGCGAATCCGTATCTGGCCCAATGTATCTGCAATACACAGCGACGAAAATCAATAAAGTATGGAACAACGAACAAACAAACAAACAAACCCGAAAAATACGCCATTTAATTCTTTTCTTCAGAATGAATATTAATTAAAAATAACTTACACGAAGAATTAATTCTCTTAATGTAACCTCCTGACATTTAGAAGGCATTATTATAAATATTTCACAGATAATACAAATGACGAGATGGTGGAACGCATTCTTTTAGAACACTTAACAGCCCCAACGCTTTACAGAGAACTCTTCTCAGTCAAGAAACGTGCGGGTATCTCGTTCCTTTTAACTATCTCCGAAAACACCTCGGCCGATTTCTTGGCCGTTCGCCTTCGATCTGGATCACTGAAATCCACGTGATACAGGCCAAATGTTTCACTGTAAAAGAAAACATCATCAGAATGGATTAAACTGGCATAAAAACCACAAACACTTCCTCCGCGCATGCGCACATTTCCTTAACGTAAGTTTCACACTCACGTGTATCCAGACGCCCACTCGAAGTTGTCCATCAGGCTCCAGGCGGTGTACCCGAATATATCGCAACCATCTTGATTCAAAGCTTTCAGTAATTCACGCAAGTAGTTCTGAAAGTAATGCACATTTTAGGGCGTCTTTCGTTGTTAATCCTCGTGAACGTTCAAAAAAAGAAAATTACGTAAAATAAAATTATTTTATCTCCAAAGTTTAAATACACAAATAATAAAACATACAACGAAGTAACTGATCCTGTCTGTATCATTCAGGTCTCCACGGTCAGAGAATCCATTTTCCGCTATCAAAACGGGCGGATTGTCGTATTCCTTGGCGATCCAGTTGAGGATCTTCCTGAAACCCCATGGGATCACCTGCAAATATTCGGTCGATCATTTATTAAGGAGAATTCTCAATGCACAAATCTCTGTTCCACTAAAAGTGAGATATTGTTTGTACGAAATAAAATGCGTGGTTATGTTGCTTGTATATTTTCAATGGGTTTCTAAATGTGCGCCACCAGAAACATTCGTCAAAGATTAAATTCAAGTACTTTCAATACTTTTAACGGTAAAAAGGGAAGTATTATCTTAAACTAAAATTATTGTTACTACACATATCTAAAAGATTAGGTTTGGTTAGGGTAGGCTTGGTTAGGTTACGTTAAAATAGGTTAGGTTTGGTTTGGTTAGATTAGGGTAGGCTTGGTTAGGTTACGTTAAAATAGGTTAGGTTTGGTTTGGTTAGATTAGGGTAGGCTTGGTTAGGTTACGTTAAAATAGGTTAGGTTTGGTTTGGTTAGATTAGGGTAGGCTTGGTTAGGTTACGTTAAAATAGGTTAGGTTTGGTTTGGTTAGATTAGGGTAGGCTTGGTTAGGTTACGTTAAAATAGGTTAGGTTTGGTTTGGTTAGATTAGGGTAGGCTTGGTTAGGTTACGTTAAAATAGGTTAGGTTTGGTTTGGTTAGATTAGGGTAGGCTTGGTTAGGTTACGTTAAAATAGGTTAGGTTTGGTTTGGTTAGATTAGGGTAGGCTTGGTTAGGTTACGTTAAAATAGGTTAGGTTTGGTTTGGTTAGATTAGGGTAGGCTTGGTTAGGTTACGTTAAAATAGGTTAGGTTTGGTTTGGTTAGATTAGGGTAGGCTTGGTTAGGTTACGTTAAAATAGGTTAGGTTTGGTTTGGTTAGATTAGGGTAGGCTTGGTTAGGTTACGTTAAAATAGGTTAGGTTTGGTTTGGTTAGATTAGGGTAGGCTTGGTTAGGTTACGTTAAAATAGGTTAGGTTTGGTTTGGTTAGATTAGGGTAGGCTTGGTTAGGTTACGTTAAAATAGGTTAGGTTTGGTTTGGTTAGGTTAGGCTAGGTTAGGTTAGGCTTGGTTAGGTTAGGTTAAGTTTGGTTTGGTTAGATTAGGCTTTAGCTGTTACTTAAGATGTCATTAACGTAACAAAATCTTATTCCTCCAGTCAAGCTAAAATCCTCACACTCGCAAGTTCATTTGAAAAATAGTATTCATCCCCTGTTTTAATTTTCTTGAATAACAAAATTAATTTATATTGTAGTTTAAAATGAAATCACTTTGAACTTCCTCCAGTGTAATGTACGAGACAATGAAACACAGAAGAAGATATTAATTGTAATTTTAGTTTCAGTTGTCGCAGAGGTTCTTAACCTTCCTTGATTATGAACCCTATTTCTACAAATGAGGAAGGGGTAATTTAGGTTCGATGATTAATCTTAAGTGATAACAGTGTCAAAGAGGTTAAGAACCATTATTAAAGACATACAAGAGCAGGGGTGTATAATCCCAGCAAGAAATTTACAAAAATTAATGTTTAATATAAAATATTTCCACGTCTATTTACCTGCAACCAGATTGAAGATGCAGTTGGGTAGCTTTTATCTTGTTCCACACCAACATCACAGTCCATAAACAAAGGGAAATGTTGTAAGCTCTCAGATACAAAGACTGTCGTGTAATGGTTCAGACCCAGGAAATCCCATGTACCTACATAAAAATATTTCCATGACTTCCAACTTGAAAGACAAAATTATACTTTGTTAATGAGCCAAAATTGTGAATTTACTAGTTTTTGACGTTCAAGATACGTAACTGAACACAAGGAAAACCAGAAATAAATTAAAATTTTTATTTTATCGGTTGTAACGAAGTAACCAGTTACACAAGAATTAGGTTTGGTTGGATGAATTTAAGAAAAGTACAATCTGGGATGACAACCATAACCTTAAATTAAGTGGGGAAGATTAATCTACGATGTTGAAGTCTCTAAAATAATTTCTTCCCTTCGGGTTTTTCTGACTAAAATGTTGGAAAATTTCCAATTTCTTAAGTTATGAATTAACTTTGCCCGATAAACGTGTTCTTTTTCTCCTAAACTGAAGTTTATTTTTGAAGACTGAAAACTTACCTTTCACCATTTCCACTTCCTCCTTGGTAAAGCTTGGTAGTCGAGATCTATTATAACCTTCTTCTTTACATTTCTTGGCCAACCACTCTTTCATTATGGGCGGATAATCGCCGGTTTTACTGTAGATTGGGTGCAGGATCCAACCTATCTGAAATAAAATGTCTTACTACGTCAGTTGGTTACTGAAGATGGCTGTCATCTGGGTTGTTGCACGGTGCAGTCTGGTAAGAGTTTAATGATAGCTCAGGTGTCCTTTCTGCCGCCATTTTGAAAACTCCTACCACACAACATGGCGCGAGACCACAGAAGACAGCCATCTTCAGACTCACTGCCGTAAAAAAACTCGAATTCTACTTGTTTGCCTCTTGGTTGAGGCACCTCTTTTGCGATTTGACACGTGTAACTCCTTCTTAATAAATATTCACAATTGCTCTGTTATGAAATGATTCTCCCGGTTGATTTATATAAGTACTAATATAAGATGGTAAAGTTGCGTCATATTGTGATATAATAAGTATATATTAAATCTTGTCCGTTTAATCACAATAATTCTTATTAAATATTAAAATAATTATTGTAATATTTTAATATTTAATATTTAATAAGAATTATTGTGATTAGACGGACAAGATTTAATATATAAGTACTAATATTAAGTTGATATTTTTCATTGTCCAAAATATATTCAATACAAAAGTAAGTGACTGAAGTGTTGACAGTGTGAATTAAAAAATAGTGCAAGTCTTTATGATATCTAAGCTAAGTGACAGGAAGTAGCCGATTGCTCCATACGCTCACATGCATCTGTCGTGTCCTCTCTGCCGCCTCGAGATCTTCTTTGCTGTCGGTCTTTGGTTCAATCCAGTTGCACACCGATACTATGGACACCTTGCCTGACAACGCAAATTAAAAACTTTTTATAAAATATTGAGCAGAACATTGTCTCCTGTACTACTTAATTTCTTGCATTAATCCAATAGGAAATATTCACTAAAGCAGACCGCTGTAGGAATATGTTACTGGTGGATATCCCAGGCAGTTCCTTTGCAGAATTTCGAACTATTTGTTGTATAAAAATCAGTATGGAAATATTACATTTCTTTTAATTTCATACTTTCAACGATAATAACATTTGTCAATGTGAGTTGTTAAGGTAGGAACAACATTATCACTCTCCGATCCCGAACATTATGATTTAAAACGTGCCACTTACGTTTATAGACAATTGCGTAAGGCAGACAGTATCTAGGTACTTCAGAGTGAAATATTTTTTCAATAACCTTTTTGGGTTTCCTTGAATTCTCGTTCATAGACACGGTAAGCCCTGGCATGTGACAGAAGGATTGTGTGTATCACCTGGTATTCACCGTGGCCATATGTCACGACGTTAGGGGCAAATCCAATCGGAATGCTGTACCCAAGAACAACTGATTTGGGTTCATTGATAGTGTTCCACCATTTCACCTGTGAAACAAATTATTTAAAAAAAAAAATCTTCATGTCTCCAGCCTTATGTAAATGTCTATAACAGAATATGGGCTGAGTCAACATTTGCCATTATAATCCGTATTTTTCGCGTGAGGCTTACACATATTCAATATAAGCATATCTGAAACGTAGGTCTATTTATACGAACCCACACGACGAAACATCCAAAGAGTCTCTCTCTTCTTATTCGCCGTGTCCAGAACCCAAATATTTCTCATGCCGCGTTACGTAACTTTGGCAGTCGACACAGCAACGTAAAACAACCAAATAATCAACTCACCCTGTCTCCGAAGTTAGTATACAGGACACGTGAATAATCCTCGAAGTAATTCGCTATGAGTGGATTGGTCCATCCACCAAGATTCTGTAATGGCTGAGGTAAGTCCCAGTGATACATCGTAACCTGAAATTCAGTTAGATTGCTACTTCAGGCTGTGACGAATTAAGACCAGAGCGAAACGAGGTGTCTATCGACGCAGTCATTTGACAACTCTTACTCGTAAAAGGCCATTTCATTCTGATACAGAGTCAGTCTCTCACTCAAGACATTAACTGATATGGAATATCACAAACCGAAAACGGTCAGGAAATTTCTATTTAAAGACGAGTTACATCGTTTCTACAAGGAAAAAGGACCTGAGAAATTATATTTTTTTATGTTTACGAAGAAATATCCCAGGAAACTTACCATGGGCTCTATTCCATTAGCAATCAATTCATCTATTAGTTTATTATAATAGTCGATGCCAGCTTGATTCACCAAGTTCACGTGTCCAGTTGGTAAAATTCGTGGCCAAGATATGGAGAACCGGTAGAAATGCACCTGAAATATCGAACTCTGTAAGTGAATGCTTATTACCTGGTTATTGCGTGGCTACAGTTCTCAGAACTTTGCAATATTGCTATCATCCAATAAATAAAATCTGACTTCATGCGATTAATATCTGGGCTGATTAACAAACACATTTGTGATTTACGACTGTGATTGTCTGGGTTATGACACAGCGTAGTCAGAACCCATGGAATCACCGTCATTAAATCCTCGCATTTATATTTATTTGGATTTATTTGTTCTTGGTTTATTCA